AGAGGAAAAGGGAAGATGGGTACATCCCACCTCATTTAACAGAAACCTCTACGTCAATACACCTCAAAACCACTCTTGTTTATATGGGCAGCCTTGAAGTGAAGGCTGAGTGAACAGGAGGAACCAAACTCCCTCCGCAGCATAAAGCCAGCAAGTGTGGTATGCTCCTCTTCCTCCTCCTCCTCAGCCTCCATGAGAGGCTGCAGGTGCCGATGGACCACTGACCTTCCTGTGGTACAGCTGCGGCTCATCTACGCTGAGCTCCAGCCTCCTGGAATCCAAGCTCTAAACCAGAACGGACACAGACAAAAATCCCTGCCATTTCCAGGTTTAAATCATTTCTGTAGTGGCAGCATGCGGTAGCTTGCCACATCACCTTTAGGACCAAGTACCCAGCTCACATTTCTCCTTTAAATGCCTCAATTTCAGGAGTTGTTTAGGCAATGTTCTTAAAATGTTCCACTGTACTTGAAAACTAGGGATGTCCCTACTATATATCCTATGGCTCCACAGACAGAATCCTTAAGAAAATAAAAGTATAGTAAAGCTTTCCACTAAAAACAATCAAAACTAAAGAGATTTAGCCTAATTATTTTAGTACACACACATATATATATAAAAACTTATGGATCGATTAGAATGCAATTTGCTAATTTTGGTATATTATATCATAATCTATACCAAACTGTAGCTGTAATTCAAAAAGCAAAAATAACGGACAGCAATGATCCCTACCATCATCCATGCCAAGAAATCAAAGCCTAATAAATGCTAGAAAAATACTCTTAATCCTCACAACTGAGCAGTTTCATTCAGCGTGGCAGGCTAGCACAGTATAACCTTTGGGGACTAGGATGAACTGGGAGAGTGGAGGAGTTATAAATACCAGAGTTTTGGTTAACAGCTTATATTTATTTAATTCAGAAGGGAAGAAAAGAAAAACACTGCTATTTTTTTTGGTCAATAAATGTGAAGTGATTTTTTTTTTTTTTTTTTTTTTAAAGCAGAAGCTTGACATAAAAGCTCTTTCATAAAACGTTCTTAACATCAGGGAGAGAAGCCAGGCAGCTGTGCGCTGTTATTGTGTACACGGTAAATCAGGCACAAAAAGGGGCAGCTCAGCAGGGCACCGGGAGGGTAAGATGCACACTTAACCCCCTGCACACATTGTTGCTCTATTTCTTTCCATCTTCGTCTGTCTGCAGTCGGTACTGTATCTGTCATGAATGTAACAGGCCATTTTCAATCTAAATCTTGTTATGGATTAATAAGCAAACACTTTCTCGCTTATTATGCAATTTATCATGATGAAAATTGCATTGGGCTCCTCAAGGCTACATGCTGATACATTCATTTATTCAGTGCTCTGTGGATAGAGAGCCATACTAATCTTTATGACAGCTAAGGATGTAATCGCAAGATGAAAATGACTTTCTGAAGAACTGTGTTCACTTGGCTTCTGTAAATCTACATTTACATACAATAGGGCTTAGGAGATTCTCTGGGAAGGTAAAACATTCTGGTTTCTTTTGTCACACTACAAGAAATAATTGAAGTTCAGTCAAGTAACAATATTAACCCAGTTTGTACATATTTCTCCATTAACACCCCCCCAACACATGGCAATCCTTCATTCTTTACATCTTGAGGAAATTAAAACTCTTATATAAAATGGGTAATACCTGCCCTAGTATAACGTAAAAGAAAGTCAGAAACCTTAACACCTCCACAGACGGATGATAAAATGCATACATGGTATTAAGACAACCCTGGTCAGTTCCTTATTGCATCTAGCATTTAAAATGTGTGTGTTTACAAACATTTGTAAACACATTTGTAATGTAAAATTCATTCACAATAGAGCAGTTTTCAGAACTGTAAGATTTGAAAACGAATTCTAATTCTAAATGCTACGGGCGTGTGAATGCTCACGGTGTTAAATGTTATTGCTACAAGCAAAAGAAATTCTCGACTAAAATAGAAAAGTAACTAAAAATATAAATACATAGCTTAAACACCTGACTTATTTCCAATTAGAAGGATATTCTACAGTTCCATATAGTGAGACATAAAAGAAAAGTGTTTGCTGTGATTTAGCCTTAGAATAAAACGGAAAGCTGGCTAATTGTTTAAGGATTTTTTTTTTTTAATACCTAAAGTAATGTTATTACTGCAATGCTGTCAACAAGAACATCTGTACGCTAAGCAAACCTCCTCCTTCTGCTAAGCACACTGTTTTACATGTACATGAATATTCACCCGACCGCTGAAGGCCTACTGCAGTTTTAAAATAGTTTTAAAGTACTGCAGACATTTCCTTGTCCTTTAATGTAAAACTCTCTTCTCCCACATGCTTCAGCATATACCCAAGAAAGCTTGACAGACATTAGCAATGCCATCAAGCAAAATATTACCTGCTGAAAAATGAACCTCTGCATTTTATGAAAGGAAATACAGTAAAATTAATACCTAAATAATCAATTATGATGACCTCGGCAATTTCAGACACTATTTTTCTTTTTTTTCCCCAAGCAAAAACCTCGCAAAGAAAATGTCACAGACCAGTCAGCCATCTTCCTTTAGGAATGAAATTGTTTCCCCATTAACGAACGGTTTATCAATTACCGAGTGGCTTACAGTTTAACTCTTAAGGAACACTACAAATTAAAATATTATGTAGAAAGCACTACATAAATTAAAAATTAAGCACAAAATACATTCAAAAAACCTAGAGAATATTCATGCAGTGCTTGGGATGCCAGACATAGAAAGCACTAAAACTGCACTTGGTGCAGATTAGGAAAGCTCTACTGAAACAAACAGCACCATCGTGATTCATACCAGCTGAAGGTTTTGTTTATATTCTGCATGGAAACACGCCCCATCAGCACAGATTCAAAATGCCTATGCATTTAAGAACATAAACTTGCTTAACAACAAAAACATGCTGAGGTTTTATTAGAAAAAACATCAATGACTTCTGTATTTTTGTGATGAAAATTATTATTAAATTTAAATATTTTTAGTAACAGTTGTTTTCCAAGGGAGTATCTGCAGAACTTTAATACTACAGCATTAATTCATACTGACAACCAAATAAATACGAAATTTGTATTTGCCCAAGGCAATCCTCCATCTAGAGCAGGAGCTACATGTTTTGTATGTCCTAACTGGGGACAGATTTGTTCCTATGCAAGAGCCGTGTACCTACAAATGAAAATTTTGTCTCAGTGGCACTAATGTATATCCACTTATATTTTCCAAGGTTTTCCATTAAAACCAGGAAGCTTGAAATAGATTTCAAAGCCAATTACATAAAGCATAGTATCATTGTTTTATTTGATATAAACAGCCTACTGTGGTTGCTTCTTATAGTGACTTTTTGTTTTTTTCTTTATATATATATACACATAGAAATCAAAGCCTCTCTTTTTGCATGTTTAAGTGTTTGCTTTTTTTAATAAAAGCTAAATACAGAAAAAATTGTTCAGATAGAGAGTTAGAATAAATTTCAGACGAGATGATCAATTTTACAACAAACAATAATAAAAATAAGGACTAGATTGCAAAACCCTTTCCTGCGCAAATAGTCCTGTTGTCATTAATCAGGTTAATGGTGTGAGTAAGGACTGTTCATGTGAGAATCGGGGCCCCAGTTGAAATTTATTACATTTAGTCCTCGGATCATAAAATTCATGGCTACTCAACAAAAATGCTACTCATGTCCTGCAAAGTTACACACATTAAATAAATCCCAAGCGCTAATATTCCGGAATCCCATTATCTTAACACAAAAGCATTAGAAAAAAGCAAGACGCTACCTTTATTACACAAGTCATCTTAATGACTTCACTTACGCATTTAGCCATAATTATTTGATTTAGCCATAATTATTTGATGATGTGATTGATAGTACATGACACTGTCAAGTGTAATAACTTGTGTACACACCTGTGTATACGTAACTAGAAGTTGTACAATTATAGTAACTGTTAAGAAGTGGAACAAATAGGCACTTATAGTTCCATGCACACACACACACAAAATTATAAACAGTATCACATTTTTGCTGTGCATTTTATGTCAAAGTATCAGACTTCCTCATTAAATTTGTGTGCCCCCCCCCCTTACAAATACTTAATTGAAAGATTTTATTTCAAGGAGGTTAGAACAGAGGTACAAGACAGCATACCATATAAATCTTGATTTGGGATGCTTTAATAAGTTGTTCCCCGACCCTAGAGACAGGCTGTGGTCTACTGAGTTTATGATTTCTTAGCAATCCTTAAATCTACCAGTTACCTTGATGCTATTAACAGCGATGCTGTTGATAAAATAACCACCTTTTCGAAAATGTACTTTCCGAAACAATTTAAATCTCGATGGGATGGCTTGTAAAGCCATGGGAAAAAAAATAATCCACGTACTCAGACACACCAGTGGAAAATACCTTCTGAAAAGACCATTTTTACAGTTAAGAAAGAGTAAAAAAAAAAAAAAAAAAAAAAAAAAAATTATGTTAAAGACAGACAGACATATTTTAGATATAAAAAAATGTTTTAACTTGCTTCTTTTCTCAAAATTACTAGCAATGCGACCAGAAGATTAATGCTGTGTAGCCCTGGGCAATGCCTACCAAGTGTTTGGTGTCTCCTAGTTTTAGATGGGGTGACCCACAGTGCCAAGAGAAGTCAGCACCGCAGTGCTACTGTGCACAAGCGACTGGATCTCTCCTGCTGTGGTTTAACTTTTTCCTTTCTGAGATTGCCCACCAGAGCCGCCTGAGACTGCAAACGAAGCCAGACTAAAGCAGATTTGAAATTGCAATTTAGATGGTACTGGTTCAAAAGCAAAACTTGAAACAAGGAGTTATTCCTTGGTCCCACCTTCTTGCCAAGTACCACAGCTGTCGGGATTTGAACCGACCGCTGCAAAACCTAGATCCACAGGTCAGAAAGAATGCAGGTAAGTATTTGTAAGTGAATAAATGAGATACCTACTTCGCAAGCTGTTTCTCCGCGTCAGCGCAGAGCTCCAGAAGGCCCATCAGCACGGCAGAGACATCCATGTAGGGCTCCCAGACGGTAAAGCCGCGGCCGATGAGGTCGATGGCGGTTCTGCGGATGGTGCTGTGCGCGGGCAGCTTGGGGCTGGGCGGCTGCAGCAGCAGAAACGTCAGCGCCTTGCCTGCCGTGCAGAGCGGGAGAGAACGGGACAATGAAAAGAGAGCTGCAGAATTGCTTTTGCCTTGTTTCCAAATACTTGCTGTTGGGAAACATGTAGTAAGGAAACCTGCTCGTAAGTCACTGTATTAAAGCTTTATCTCACCAAGAAACTGCAGAAGCTTACAACTGCAGGGTCTTCCCAAAGTCAGCGAAAAAGAGAAAGACATGTGGGTATCAGTTATGTGAATTAACTGTAGGGTATGTGATGCCCAGAGACTCCCTGGGCCATGGATTTCATACAGAATGGCAACCACAGCAGTCCTCAAACGCGGACACTAATGACGCTCGGAAAGGCAGTGGATACGAGCGTAGACTGTCTCAGATAAATGGTATCCACGCTCCCAGACATCACTCTTAGCTCAACAAACAGCAGAAGGCAAGGAGGCTGTTCTGCTACGCACAAGCACAGGACAGATTAGAAGTGTGCACCCCGTTAGCAATGCTGCAACCCTACCAGTTGCTGCCTACGAGAATTTTAAAGCTTTCTCAATGGCAACGATGGCCGGTTTGTTACTGAAATGCATCAGACTACACGGCACAGTGAGCTTAATCAAACTGGCCAATATTGCCAGCGTGGAGTCTTAAACGTAGTATTTTCACCACAAAAGAAATAGTACTAAATGTATTTTTTGGAAAAAATGTAAGAAGTCTACATGCCTACATATTTCTGCCCAGAAATTGTGCAAAAGAAGTCAGAATAAATCAAACCAGAAATGATAAGAAAAAATCCTCCCTTCAACAGACACTTGCTAAGAAAACCCTGAAAATTTGTAATAACATTAACATAAGTAATAAAGTTTTCAGAAAAAAAGGCACATCATTTTGAAAGGATGTCTAAGAAAAACTAGCTTAAAAGATTAAACTCAGGAAAATATCAGTTAAAATAAACCACGTTAAGATTACAGTTGTTCATCAGTATCTTGGCTACAGGTAGAAGCAGATCATGCTAGATGTACTTAACTGCGTGAGGAACAGCAAAAATAAGTCACTGAAGTCTCCAAAACAACCGCTCGTTTCCAAACGTGCCATGTGCCTGCCCGTGCAGGGGCTCAGAGGAGGTGGCACCACCAGCTCCGTTCTTTAATTAAAATCCTGTGCTCACCACGATGCCTTCACCTCAGCAATCAGCAGAGATGACGTTTCATTCAAGTGAACCACGCAATGACTAGCGCCGCAAGAGTGACGCTGTCTCGCTGCTTGGCACGGGGTGCCGGCGAGGCACCCTACCGCAGCCAAAGGCAGCTGGCTGGGGCTGGGGGCTCTGCCCCAAAAGGTACCCGCTGCGCCGGGAGCCCACCCGCAGCATCGCCTCCCTTCCCGAGGGCTGCACGCCTGACTCCTGCGTTTTACTACGATTACCTCACGGTGCTGGCGTCCATCCTCACTAACTCACTCTCCCTCCTCCCCACAATGCCTTTTTTTCTTTTAGAGAAATATAGCTTAAGGGGGTAGGGGGCGAGAGAGAGAAGTGATGTCCCAAACAATGTCAACACACCTGAATTCTGATCCAGGTTCTGCATATTGAGGAAACTTGATTAATAATGTCATTTAATAGACTAGTTTTTTACAAAAATAATTATGTCTATAAAAATGTGTAGGAGGGCTAAAACAAGCAAGTCTTCCAGATGAAGATAATTTATCATTAGCTCTACATAATTATTTGTTACCTCTTAATAATATTAATTTAGCTTGCTATTGTGATAAAGATGACCTATTGATTTTAACAGGTTTTTCTTTAGTTTTCAGAACCATCCTCTATGAGTTGCTCATTTTGTTTATTAAATAAACCACCTGTCATTTTAAGCACTCAGAAAAGCTGACAAACACACCTTCTAGTCCATTCACTCTAACCCCTTATACGTGTGTAACAGAAGAACTGAAAGTTTCTTCTTGAAGTGCATGGCAGTCCATGAAGCTCGAGTTTGTGTGAATTTTATGTCTCAAATATAAGAACCTTATTAAAAAGTGTGACTACTCAAACATTACTACAATGAAATATGCCTACCTTTTTCACAGGAATCCTCCTAGCATTGCTCCTGCTGACACCTACCTTGCGTAAATTGAGCTAAGGAAAAAGATGAACTAAACAAAAGTCATTCTGCTGCCCGTTTCTCAGCCTGGACATCTTTGTTTAAGCTTTGACTTGGCTTAAATGAACGAATTAATATTGACAAAAACATCAACTAAGCTAATGAGTTGTTAGTTAAGGCAATAAACATGTCACATTAGAGTCAGCGCAGTAAAGAGGTAATTAGCCCTGGAAAAGCTCTGCTGATTGGGGCTGCGGAGATCCTTTGCTCTTAACCTTTGAGTCCATTATGCGGAGCAGGACCGGGAGCAGCCATGCTAATGTGCATCCCCGGGACCCGCAGCCTCAGCCGCGCAGCCCAGGGCAGGTCCCTGCTTGCGCCTGGCGCTGATTCGGCATCTTTTAGTGAACCGACACACTTGCGCTACCATCAGACGGGCAAGACAATACCTATTTAAAGGCATTGGGCTATCATGGTGATGTGACAGAAAAGATGCTCCAAACCAGCATGCAGCTTATCACTGCACTTCAGCGTGCTCCTCCTGCTATTCAATGCATACTGAAATTACTATAAGCAGGGAGCTGTGTCCTTCTTGCTGGAAGTCTAACTAACATCATAGTCTTTAAACAAAAAATAAAAAAAAATCTGCCCTAGCAAAAAGTAAGTTTTGATGATTTACATGTACTTTCTGTTATAAAAAGTCATTAAGAAACAAACTTAGCAGAAACATAGCTCAGGAAATTACATTCCTATATAGATTTGTATTAAAATATAATTTTGTTCCAGGTGTTTTAATTTGCATTGGTACACATATGCCACAAGCATATGGAAATGAAAAAAGCCGTACAGGAAGTAATCCAGAGCGCAGAAGGCAGTGATTTTGTCCCTGGACAGAACTCACTACCTCATCAGTACAAGGGAGTTATCAGGACTACCAAAAACAGACTGGATTTTTCTCAACCAGTAGAGAAGGATAAAATTTTGTACACAAGTACTGAAGTGCTTTCAACATTTAGGATAGAGATAGCCAATCTGCCAGTTCTCTGAAACTAGTTCTATATATCCTCACAGGAAACACCCTATGTGACAGCACACAGATACCCCCACAAAAAGCTAGATCTAGCAAACAATGGCATAGTTAAAAATCTTTCTACTTTTTCACGTTTACTTGAACACTAAAATAAAGGTGTGAGTCTTTGCTCTTTATGTCACTTTTATTAACGAAAATATGACATGAATACTAAAGCTTATCAGTTATCTTCAATGCATATAGCCCTGGATTTCTAAAACGTCTTTCCTTGCTGAATCCCAAGAGCTTTGACCATATTACATCAGTCAGCATTGTTATCCCCATTTTGCCGATAGATTTAAAAAAATTAAATAATTTGCACAAGAAAAATCAATAGTGCAGGCATGAACGAGACACTGATAACTCTGATTCCCATTCTCATAATTTGCCACAAGATCAAGTTCCAACTAAATAAAAATGATGAACTCCAAGAATATCATTTAACTTGCTTTGCATCTTTTTCTTATTTTCTATTAAAAAAAAAAGTGAAGAATCATAGCTCTGACTTATTTTTTTCAGTCTGCCCTCTCTCCCTGTGTCCGTCAGCACAGTGTTCTTTTACAAGACATGAAACCAAATTGTGACCCTTTCTGGATGATTTTTTCCTGATTTGACGTATACCTGTGTGAAATGTCCAGAGAAAGATAGAAATATAAATTTGGATAGCTGGGTTAAAAATCCATATCCCTTAATCCTTTCCTACTTCTAGTGCAGTGAATTTTTATTACACATCTTCTCTCATCTTTCAGACAGGTATAAAACCAGAGGCTATATTTAGGCCTAACTTAACAAATTAACTAGTCAAATTATTTGAAGAATTTTTTCTAAAGACGTAATGATGAAAAGATTTATTTTTTTTTCAATCACACTCAATGTCAAATTTCTTAATTTTTACAGAACTCGTTTTCAGCATTTTTTTTTTGACCTTTAATGTCATTCTGACACTTAAACATTTTCAACTGAACTTATGCTAGGAGATACTTCCTTTTTGCTGATGACCTCTCCAAGTCATTTAAGTACCATTCTTCAACAGGTGCAACGCCTGCAACTTCTAAGGTAATTTCAGAATTTACATGGATGTGTGGTTTTTTAAATTTGTTTTCAAAAGTACGGTCTTCGAGTATATTAAGAAGCTAAGTAGTTATTGTGCGTCACAGTAACGAGACTGCATTTTATTCAAAGTGAAAAACAATTTAGAATTACATTTAGAGTTGCTCCTGCATAAAAGGAGAAAAGCAAAGAGGCTGAAAAGAAATGATCCCCAATTGCCACATGTCAGAGCAAGTGACACCGCTAAAATCCCGCAGTATTCCCCGGCAGGCGAGCTGCAGCGCTGGGGCAGCTGTGCTGTCATTGTGCACTGCGTTACCAGCCAAGGGGATGCCCGGCTAGGGAAGGCAGAGACATCACTTCAGAAAGCCTGGATTGCTGTGCAGCCATTTTGTTCTGCAGATCAGACAAGATAGCTGCCAGGTTTCTATCTGCGGCTCGCGCTCACGCGAGGACTGTCGGATCGCGTGGCCGGTTGGTCACTTTGCGCCGTTTCATTCGCTGTGCAACAATTCAAAATTAATTCTGAATATTCCCAACGCAGTCAGATTTTCCAGGGGCGGCGCAGGCTGCCCTTACCTGCTGGCGGCCGAGAACAATAGGACATTCACTGTGCAGGCAATCGATAGCCCCCACCCGCTCCTCCCAGCCACTGCAAAGGGAGAGAAACAATTCCCGCTCGCGGGGCTCGCCGCTCGGCACGCAGCCGCTGTAGGTTTGGCTTTGCTCTTCTGAGGGCTGGGGGACAGCCCCTTCTATCACAAATACTCAAGAAGGAATACAGTTGTGAAAAATCTCTAGAGAAAGGTAGTC